CCCGGTGCCCCCCGGTGCCCTCCAGTCCCACCGGTGCCCCCATCCCCAAGGACACCCCCATTCCCCGGTGCCCCCCGTGCCCCACTCCGCACCTGCAGCTCCTGCACGAAGATGAAGATGTTGTCGGCGCCCACGGCCAGCACGAGGAAGGGCACGACCTCGATGATGATGAGGGACGAGCGCAGCCCCAGCAGCGCCAGCAGCCCCATGGCGGCCAGCACGGCCCCCAGCACCACCGCGATGCCCCCCAGCGCCAGCGTCACCTTGGACTCCACCTGCGGCACCCCCGGGGGGCACCCCGGGTCAGCACCCCCGGCTGGGCACCCCCGAACCCCCCCGAACCCCCCAAATCGACCCCCTCGGGGTCACCGGGACCCTCCCTCACCCCCGAACGGCCCAGGACCCCCCCAACCCACGGCCCCGGGGCTGCACCAGGTCCCTCTGCCACCCCTGATGCCCCCAAACTCTTCCGGGGCTCACCAGGTCCCCGTGCCCCCCCCGAGACCCCCGGGGCTCACCAGGACCCGCTGCCACCCCCAACACTCGCCCAGGGCCAGCGCGATGTAGGCGAACACCAGCAGGTAGCTGGTGGCGAACACTGGCAGGTCCTCCCCGCTCGTGCGGTTGAGCTCGTCCTCCAGAGAGCGCTGAGGGGACAGCGACAGCTGGGGGGGCACCGCGGGCACCGGGGGCACGGGGACATGGAAGGGGCACAGGGACATGGGGGGCACTGGGGAAACCGATGGCAGGGGGGGCACCAGGGGCACGGGGACATGGAAGGGGCACAGGGACATGGGGGGCACCAGGGACACCGGGGACATGGGTGGCACCAGGGGCACGGGGGCACAGAGAGGGCACAGGGACGTGGGGGGCACCAGGGAAACCGATGGCAGGGAGGGCACGGGGGGCACGGGGACATGGAAGGGGCACAGGGACACAGGGGGGCACCACCAGTGGCATGGAGGGGACACGGGGTTCACTGAGGCCACTACGGACACAGTGACACAGGTGACATCGGGAACATGGGGGTCTCAGGGACACGGAGGGGACACGGGGGGGACACGGCGGTCACACAGGGGACACAGGGGGACACGGAGGGGACAAGGAGGGGACACGGGGGGGGACACGGAGGGGACGCGGCCGCACCTCAGCCATGAAGGTGACCGAGAGGTTGCCGCCGTGGTGGCGCTGGAAGTCGCGCACCACGCGCAGGAATTGCCGCTCCCAGCTCAGCGCCCACTCGAGGCGCGGGTCCCCCGCGGGGAAGTTGTTCAGCGAGTAGGTGACAATCAGCGCCTCGGCCTCCGTGTACTCCGACTCTGCGGGGACACGGCGGTCACGGCGCGGGGACGCCTGGGGGACCCCCCCGAGCAGCCGGCCCCCCCCGTACCGCGGTAGCCGCCCAGGGCGACGTAGGGGAACACGGGCGCGCCGTACTCGGCCATGCAGCTCAGCTCCAGCGCCGTGATGTCCTTGAAGGAGAGCGGGGAGCTGGTGGGGACAGGGCCGGGCCGTCAGCGGGGGCTGTGCCCGCCCGGCGCCGCCCTGCGCCCGCTGCCACCCGCGGGTGCCGTGGGGGACGCGTGGGTGGCACCACAGAGACGCGGCCTGGCGCCCAACAGCGATGGGGACACACGGGTGACAGCCCAGACACACGGCCTGGCGCCCAACAGTGATGGGGACACGTGGGTGGCACCCTGAACCCACGTGGGCATCGCCCCAACCCCACAGCTGGGCACCCCACAGGCACCGTGCCATGTCCAGCACCCACAGATGTCACCCCAGCCCCAAACTGGGCACCAAATCATGGACAGAGCATCACCCCAACCCTACAGCCGGGCACCCCATGGGCACTGTGCCACACAGATGTCACCCCAGCCCCACAACTGGGCACCAAATCATGGACAGAGCCCCGTGGGCATCACCCCAACCCTACAGCTGGCCACCCCATGGGCACTGTGCCACACAGATGTCACCCCAGCCCCACAACTGGGCACCAAATCATGGACAGATCCCCGTGGGCATCACCCCAGCCCCACAGTGGGCACCCCATGGGCACTGTGCCACACAGATGTCACCCCAGCCCCACAGCTGGGCACCCCACGGTGCCCGTGGCACCCACTTGACGCAGTACATGAGGTGGTCGTGCCAGTCCACGGTGCCCTGCTCCTTGCTGTCCTGCTGCCAGGCGCTGAGCGCCAGGCGGCTGCGGTTGTTCTGGAAGTACTGCGTGACGCTGTTGACGGCGCAGTCGCCCACGCCGGGCGCCGCGGGGTTCAGGGGGGCGTAGCACACGTCCTGCAGGCTGACGTTCCTGCCCGCGCCCGGTGCCCACGCCGTGGTGCCCGCCAGCGTCTCCTGCAGCTCCAGCAGCGCCAGCAGCACGTCCTGGGCCAGCACCCCGCTGAAGTTCTTGGTGCCCAGCACCACCGAGTCGTAGGCGGTGCCGGGGCGCCCCGGCGCCGTCACGATCACCTGGTTGGTGCGCAGGAAGGGCCCGAAGTGGCGGTCGTGGAACTCCTTCTCCTGCCTGGCGCGGCTGCCCGGCGCCGACCACAGCTCCACGGGGTCCGTGGTCAGCTGCAGGGTCACCAGCCCGGCCGAGAGCCCTCCGGCCACCGCCGCGGCCGCCGCCAGCACGGCCACCGGCCGCGTGGCCACCGCTGCGCCGGCACCACGGGCGGGCAGGCCCGGGCGCAGTCCTGGCACGAGCACGGCTCCTGGTCGGCGCCGGGCGCTTGGTCGCAGCTCCAGACGGGCGCGTCCAGCGGCACGACGCCCTCGCCGGGCTCGGAGCCGTTGGGCAGCAGCCGGAAGTCGATCTGCAGCGGCGCCAGCCCGTTGTTCTTGTTGCCCTGGTAGTCCAGCCAGCGCTGGGCCGTGCAAAGCTCGGCGCCGTAGCGCCCGCACATGGTGGAGATGGCGTAGCCGCCCGTGGCCGGCAGCCGCACGTCCTGGCACGAGGCGAAGGCGGCCTCGGCGTAGCGGCGGCGGTAGAAGAGCCGGTACTCCAGCACGGCCCGGGCGCCGGGCACCGCCGCGTAGTCGGCCACGCGGGTGACGTTGGTGAAGAGGCTCTGGTCGGGGCTGCAGATGTTGTGGCAGTAGAGGTTGGCGAAGTTGCGGGCGCAGGCCGGGCACCGCGCCAGCACGGCGCCCGACAGCCCCACGCTGACGCGCAGCGCGCTCAGCTGCCCGTAGCTGCAGCACACCCGCGTGGTCTCGTTGTCCCCCCGCGCCAGCTCGGGGCACACGGAGCGCAGCAGGGCCAGCAGCGCGCCCTGCGCCACGCGCGCCGGCGTGTTGGACAGGCAGGGCACCTTGGAGGGCACCAGCGACGTGTTGACCTCGGGGTTGCGCCCGCACTCGCCGTAGAAGGCGCAGACGCCGGCCTGGCGCACGGGGGTCAGCGACGGCGACGCCTGCGGGGACGGGGACGGGGTGGGTGGCACGGCGGTGGCACCTTGAGGGGCGAGGGGGACCCGGTGGGCACCGCGGAGGTGTCGCCGCAGCTCCGGCGCCTTCGCTTCCTCCAAATGGCGCCACGGCATTGTCCCCGCATTCCGCCACCTCCAGTTCCTCCAAGTGTCACCCGAATGTCACCCAGTGGGCACCACGAGGGTGTCCCCTGGTTCTGCCACCCCCAGACCTCCCAAGTGCCACCTAAATGTCACCAAGTGGCCACCACACCGGCGCCCCTCGGCTCCGCCCAGCGCAAACGTTCCGAGTGCCACCCAAATGTCACCAGGTGGGCACGGCACCGGTGTCCCCCCGGCTCTGCCACCCTCAGCCCCCAAATGCCACCCGACTGTCACCGCACCGGTGCCCCCCACGCCCCCCGGGGCCACTCCCAGTGCCCGCCCCGCGTCCCTCCCAGCGCCGCCCGCGGCGTCCCCCGTCCCCTACCAGCGCCAGGAGCGCGGCCAGGAGCGCGCCGGGCAGTGCCAGGGAGGCGGCCATGCTGACAGGGCTGTCCCCAAGTGCCACCCGCGCCTTTAAAGCCCCCCCGCCCCCCGGTGCCAGCTGGGGAGGGCACCGCTGGCCTGATAGCAGCGGGGCCAATCAGCCCGAGGCCGGATCGATCATTAACCCGATCATCGATCGATCGGGGCGGGGCCCAGCGGCCCCGGAGCCGCCAGGGCGGGGTGGCACCGAGCGGGGCACGGGGCGGCACTGCAGGCGTCACCGAAATGGGGAGAAAACGGGGATTTGGGAGTTCAGGGTGGCACGGGGTGGCATCAGGGCACGGAAATGGGGACAAACCGGGAGTTTATGAGATCAGGGTGGCATCGGGGGCACCCACGGGCACCGATTTGGGGACAATCGCAGGAATTCGGGAGCGGGAGGTGGCACAGGGTGGCAGCGGGACGTCACCCGCGGGCATCTGTGACAGCTCCAGTGCCACATCCCGGGGGTGGCGCCCTGGTGTCCCCCACGCCGTGGGCAGGGCTGTGCCAGGGCCACCCTGGTGCCATCCCGGTGGTGACAGAGCCAGCCTGGTGCCATCCTCGTGTGCCAGGGCCACCCCTGTGCCCTCTGTCCCAGTGACATCTCAGCGGTGCCACTGCCACCCTGGCGCCAACCCTTGTGTGCCAGTGCCATCCTGGTGGAGCCAGTGCCATCCCGGTGCCATCCCCGTGTGACAGCACCATGCCATCCCAGTGCCATCCCTGTGTGCCACTGCCATCCTGGTGGAGCCAGTGCCACGCCCGTGTGACAGTGCCATCCCCGTGTGACAGTGCCATCCCAGTGCCCTCTGTCCCCGGTGGCTCCAGGGCCTTGGACCCCGCTCGGTGCCATCCCCGTGTCACTGTGCCATCCCCGTGTGACAGTGCCATCCCAGTGTGACAGTGCCATCCCAGTGTGACAGTGCCATCCCAGTGCCCTATGTCCCCAGGGCCTTGGACCCCGCTCAGTGCCATCCCCGTGTGACAGTGCCACCCGGTGCCATCCCGTGTGACAGTGCCATCCCAGTGCCCCCTGTCCCCGCTGGGTTCAGGGCCTTGGACCCCGCTCGGTGCCACGCCTGTCCCCGATGTCACCAGGGTGGGGCAGTGCCACCCCCGCCACCCCCCGGGTCCCGGTGCCACCCTCGAGCTCGCACCGGGTCCCCGCAGTGTCCCCAGGGGTGCCAGCCCCGATGCCATCGGTGCCACCCCCGCAGTGTCCCCAGGGATGCCACCCCCGATGCCACCCGTGCGTGCCCTTGCGCCGCTCTTTATGGCCCTGGTGGCCTTGGGGACAAAAAGGGGGAGACAGATAAGGGGGGGACAGATAAGGGGGCACAGATAACGGGGGACACTGCCCTGGCACCGCCCTGGCACCTTTGCCCACGCCAGCGTCACCCGCCTGTCCCCGCCGTGTCCCCGGCCCTGCCTGGCACCGTGCCCGGCCCGGCCCCGTCACGCAGCCACCAAGGGACACCGGGGGACACTGGAGAGGCTCCTTGGCACCTTTATTGTCACCAACCCCCGGGGGGGGGCACGGGATGGCCCCAGGGTGGCACAGGATGACACAGGTGGGTCCCCAGGGGGTGATGGGGTGCCCAGGTGCCCCCAGGTGGCTCAGGGGGCACCACAGCCATGCCAGGCTCAGGGGGTGCCCCAGGCTCAGGGGGTGCCCCCAGCTGTCCCCAGCCGTGCCAGGCTCAGGGGGTGCCCCTAGGCACTCAGGGGGTGCCCCACCGTGCCAGGCTCAGGGGGTGCCCCAGGCTCAGGGGGTGCCCCCAGCTGTCCCCACCGTGCCAGGCTCAGGGGGTGCCCCCAGGCACTCAGGGGGTGCCCCAGGCTCAGGGGGTGCCCCCAGGCTCAGGGGGTGCCCCCAGGCACTCAGGGGGTGCCCCAGGCTCAGGGGGTGCCCCCAGCTGTCCCCACCGTGCCAGGCTCAGGGGGTGCCCCCAGGCACTCAGGGGGTGCCCCAGGCTCAGGGGGTGCCCGCTGCCCCCCGTTTGCTCCCTCGCCGGGTGAACCTGAAGCTCTGCAGGGGATTCCCGGAGCGGGGCTGCGGAAACACGGGGGGCGGGGGGGCACGGGTCAGGGGTGGTCGGGACTTTTGGAGTATTTTGGGGGGATTTTTGAGAGATTTTTGGGGGGATTTTTGGGGATTTTTAGAGGGAATTTTAGGGGATTTTGGGATGAATTTTTGGGATGACTTGGGTGATGTTTTTGGGGGGATTTTGGGGATTTTGAGGGGGGATTTGGGGGTTCAGCAGGGAATTTGGGGGTGGAATTTGGGGATTTTGGGGTTCAGCAGGGATTTTGGGGGTGGAATTTGGGGATTTTGGGGTTCAGGGGGAGTTTGGGTGGATTTTGGGGTTCAGCAGGGATTTTGGGGGGGATTTGGGGTCCCTCACCTTGCTCCCCCCCCGCCGGGCCCCGGCCCCTCGGGGACATTTCCTCTTTTTGGGGTTGGGGTCGGCGATGCCGCGCAGACTGGGGGGCACTGGGGGGGCACAAAGGGGGTCAGTGCACCCCAAACCCACCCCAGGCCAAATGCACCCCACTGCCCACCCCAAAACCACCCCCAGACCCAAATTTTCCCCATTTTTTCCCTTTTATTTCCCCCAAATTTCAATTTTTTTCCCCAATTTCCCCCTTTTTTCCCCCATTTTGGTGCCCAGGTGGGGCTGGGGCTGCTCCCACTTCCCCATTTCCCTATTTTTATCCATTTTACCCATTTTTAAACCATTTTTTCCCCCAGAATTTCAATTTTTCCCCATTTTTTCCCCAAAATTTCAATTTTTTCCCCAATTCCCCCCTTTTCCCCCCATTTTTGGGTACCCAGGTACTCGGGCACGTGGCCCAGCTGGGGCTGACCCCACTCCCATTTCCCCAGTTTTTACCCCATTTTTCCCCCAAATTTCACTTTTTTCCCCCAAAATATCCATTTTTTCCCCAAAATTTCACTTTTTTCCCCAAAATTTCCATTTTCCCCCATTTTTGGGTACCCAGGTAGTCGGGCACGTGGCCCAGGTGGGGCTGACCCCACTCCCATTTCCCCAGTTTTTACCCCATTTTTTCCCCCAGAATTTCCATTTTTTCCCATTTTTCCCCCCAAAATTCCCATTTTCCCCCCCATTTTTCCCCAATTTCCCCCTATTTTTGGGTACCCAGGTAGTCGACCACGTGGCCCAGGTGGGGCTGACCCCACTCCCATTTCCCCAGTTTTTATCCCATTTTTCCCCCAAAATTTCACTTTTTTTTCCCCAGAATTTCCATTTTTTTCCCCAATTTTTTCCCCAAAATTCCCATTTTCCCCCCCATTTTTCCCCAATTCCCCCCTTTTCCCCCCATTTTTGGGTACCCAGGTAGTCGGGCACGTGGCCCAGGTGGGGCTGCACGCTGGCCGGGTGCAGGGGCCGGTCGTGCCTCAGCGCCTGCAGGTCCCGGGGATTGTCCTCAAAATACACCTGAAATCCATTAACGAGCCCCTAATTAACCCCTGATCATTCACCAATCACTAATGAACCTGCCATCATTAACTGGGCATGGAAATTCCTCCCCAGCACCCAACTGGGTGAGGTTAAAATGGCAAAAAGGGGTTAAAACGGAAGGGGTGGGGAAGAAATCCCAAAAGGATTTGGGGTTTTTATCCCAATTTTGGGGTTTTTATCCCAAATTTGGGGTTTTTAATCCCACTTTGGGGGTTTTCAACCCATTTTGGGGTTTTTATCCCATTTTTAAAAGATTTTATCCCAACTTTGGGTTTTTTTATCCCCAATTTGGGTTTTTTTTTGCCCCACTATGGGGATTTTATCCCAATTTTGGGGGTTCCCCCCTCCATTTTGGGGTTTCTATCTCAGTTTTGGGAGGTTTTATCCCAATTTTTAAAGACTTTTTCCCCATTTTTGGGATTTTTATCCCCATTTTTGGGGTTTCTATCCCCATTTTTGGGGGTTTTATCCCAATTTTGGGGGGTTTTGATGCTGATTTTGGGGTTTTTATCCCCATTTTTGGGGTTTTTATCCCGTTTTTGGGGGGTTTTTATCCTGATTTTGGGGTTTTTATCCCCATTTGGGGTTTTTATCCCAGTTTTGGGGTTTTTATCCCCATTTTGGGGTTTTCAGCCCAGTTTTGGGGGGATTTTATCCCGATTTTGGGGTTTTGATGCCGATTTTGGGGTTTTCAGCCCAGTTTTGGGGGGATTTTATTCTGATTTTGGGGTTTTCAGCCCAGTTCTGGGGTCTCACCTTGAGCTTCTCGCAGTTGAGCAGCTCCTGGCGCAGCTCCCGCAGCCGCGCCTCGCGCACGGCCTGCTTGGTGACAGCACGCATGGCGTCCTGGGGACATGGGGACATTGGGGACATGGGGACAGCATTGGGGACAGGCCTGCTTGGGGACAGCACGCATGGCGTCCTGGGGACAGCATTGGGGACATGGGGACAGCATTGGGGACAGGCCTGCTTGGTGACAGCACGCATGGCGTCCGTCCCCGCTGTCCCCCGTGTCCCCGCTGCCCCTCACCCTGCAGCGGTACCGCAGCGTCTCGATCTCCTCCATGCGGAACTCGTAGGGCTGCAGCATGGACTGCCCGTTCTCTGGGGACACAGGGCCACCTCGGCGTCACCTCCGTGTCCCCGAGCCCCCCAGGCCCCCCGCAGTGTCCCCAAGTGCCACCTGCTGCCAGCGTGTCCTCGATGCGCCGCAGCCCCTCCAGCTCGTCGGGCAGTGCCAGCGTCAGCGCCGTGCCAGGGCTGTCCCCACGCGCCGTCCTGGGGACAGGGACACCGTGGGGACACCGTGGGGACACCCTGATACCCCCGGGGACACCGTGGTGACCCTGGGGACACCGTGGTGACACACCTGCCCACGCGGTGGATGTAGGTCTCCACGGAGTTGGGGACATCGAAGTTGTGACCCCCAAACCCCCTGGTGACCCCGGTGACCCCGTGGTGGCCCAGGTGACCCTGTGGTGGCCCCGTGGTGGCCCCGGTGACACACCTGCCCACGCGGTGGATGTAGGTCTCCACGGAGTTGGGGACATCGAAGTTGTGACCCCCAAACCCCCTGGTGACCCTGTGACCCCGTGGTGGCCCCGGGGACCCCATGGTGGCCCCGTGGTGGCCCTGTGACCCCGTGGTGGCCCCGGGGACACACCTGCCCACGCGGTGGATGTAGGTCTCCACGGAGTTGGGGACATCGAAGTTGATGACGGCGGCGACGTTCTGGAAGTCGATGCCACGGGAGACCCCGAACTCGGGGTCCTGGGGACACTGGGGCGGCTGTCCCTTCCTGTCCCCCTTCTTGTCACCCTTCCTGGGGACATGGGGACAGTCAGGGACACAGGTCCCAGTCCCCAGTGCCACTGCGCTGTCCCCAGTGCCACCCCATTGTCCCCAGGCTGACCTGGCTGTCCCCAGTGCCACCCCATTGTCCCCAGGCTGACCTGGCTGTCCCCAGTGCCACCCCATTGTCCCCAGGCTGACCTGGCTGTCCCCATGTCCCCTGGCTGTCCCCGTGTCCCCTGGCTGTCCCCATGTCCCCAGGCTGTCCCCGTGTCCCCATGTCCCCTGGCTGTCCCCGTGTCCCCTGGCTGTCCCCGTGTCCCCAGGCTGACCTGGCCGTGCCCCCCTTGCGCGGGCGGTGTCTGGGGGGCTCCGCCGGCCCCTCCTCGTCGGTGGCCACGATGTAATCGTAGAGACCCCGGTTAAACTGGGCGATGACGTGGCACCTGTGGCACAGGGACAGCGAAGGGACACCTCAGTGGCACCCGGGACACCTCAGTGCCACCCGGGACACCTCAGTGGCACCTGGGACACCTCAGTGGAACCCGGGACAGGGACAGGAATTGACAGCACAAACAGGAATTCCCACAGACCCCACCCCATAAATCCCACCCCCTTTCCACTGGGATCAGGTGAAAACCCAGGAATTCAGGACTCAAACGGGAATTCCCATAAATCCCCCAGGACTCACTGGGATCTCACAGAGACAGGTGTGGGTTGAGGGCACAAATGGGAATTCCCACCCCATAAATCCCACCCCGCTACTTCAGCTCCAAAGTCACCGGGATCAGGTGAAAACCAAGGAATTTAGAACTCAAATGGGAATTCCCACCCCATAAATCCCACCCCGCTACTTCAGCTCCAAAGTCACCGGGATCAGGTGAAAACCAAGGAATTTAGAACTCAAATGGGAATTCCCACAAACCCAACCCGTAAAACCCCAGGACTCACCAGGATCTCACAGGCAGCTGCAAGTCGAGGACAAACCCAGGAATTCCCACAGACCCCACCCCACAAATCCCCCCAGACTCACCAGGATCTCAGAGGCAGCTGCAGGTCGAGGACAAACCCAGGAATTCCCACAGACCCCACCCCACAAATCCCCCGGACTCACCGGGAGCGGGCGGGCAGCTGCGGGCTGAGGGCACAAATGGGAATTCCCACAGACCCCACCCCACAAATCCCCCGGACTCACCGGGAGCGGGCGGGCAGCTGCGGGTTGAGGACAAACCCAGGAATTCCCATAAACCCAACCCCATAAAACGCCAGGACTCACCGGGAGCGGGCGGGCAGCTGCGGGTTGAGGGCGCAGGCGGCGATCCCGAACTGCTCCAGGAAGAGTTTGAGGCGGAAGGCCCGGGCCAGGCTGCCCACGAAGAGCAGCGCGCGGCCCCGCAGCAGCCGCAGCTTCAGCAGCGCCGCCAGCAGCAGGAACTTGGACAAACCCAGGAATTCCCACAGACCCCACCCCACAAATCCCCCGGACTCACTGGAATCTCAGAGGCAGCTGCGGGCTGAGCACAAACCCAGGAATTCCCACAGACCCCACCCCACAAATCCCCCGGACTCACCGGGAGCGGGCGGGCAGCTGCGGGTTGAGGGCGCAGGCGGCGATCCCGAACTGCTCCAGGAAGAGTTTGAGGCGGAAGGCCCGGGCCAGGCTGCCCACGAAGAGCAGCGCGCGGCCCCGCAGCAGCCGCAGCTTCAGCAGCGCCGCCAGCAGCAGGAACTTGTCCTCCTCGGTGCCACAGCGCAGCTGGAACTGCTGCAGCTGGGAACGGCCCGGCAGCCGCGGCTCGGGGGGCACCACCTGCACCTGGAGTGGGTTTTGGGGTGAAAATCCCAAAAATGGGGAGTGGGGAACTGCTGCAGCTGGGAACGGCCCGGCAGCCGCGGCTCGGGGGGCACCACCTGCACCTGGGATTTGGGGTTAAAAACCCAAAAAAAAAATGGGGAGTGGGGAACTGCTGCAGCTGGGAACGGCCCGGCAGCCGCGGCTCGGGGGGCACCACCTGCACCTGGAGCGGGGTTTGGGGTGAAAAACGCAAAAATGGGGATTGGGAAACTGCCCTGGGGGCACAACCTGCACCTGGAATGGGATTTGGGGTGAAAATCCCAAAAATGAGGACTGGGGAACTGCCCTGGGGGCACAACCTGCACCTGGAATGGGATTTGGGGTGAAAAACCCAAAAATGGGGAGTGGGGAACTGCTGGAGATGAGAATGGCCTGGGAGCCGGGGCTCAGGGGGCACCACCTGCACCTGGAGTGGGGTTTGGGGTGAAAATCCCAAAAATGGGGACTGGGGAACTGCTGCAGCTGGGAATGACCTGGCAGCCGTGGTGTGGGGGGCACCACCTGCACATGGAATGGGATTTGGGGTGAAAATCCCAAAAATGGGGAGTGGGGAACTGCCCCGGGGGCACCACCTGCACCTGGAGCGGGGTTTGGGGTTAAAAACCCAAAAATGGGGAGTGGGGAACTGCTGGAAATGGGAACGGCCCGGCAGCCGCGGCTCGGGGGGCACCACCTGCACCTGGAGCGAGGTTTGGGGTGAAAATCCCAAAAATGGGGAGTGGGGAACTGCTGCAGCTGGGAACGGCCCGGCAGCCGCGGCTCGGGGGGCACCACCTGCACCTGGGATTTGGGGTTAAAAACCCAAAAATGGGGACTGGGGAACTGCCCCGGGGGCACCACCTGCACCTGGAGTGGGGTTTGGGGTGAAAATCCCAAAAACAGGCATTGGGGAAGCTGGAGATGAGGCTCTGGGGACAGAACCTGCACCTGGAACAGGATCTGGAGCCAGGATCCCAAAAGGGATTGGGGAATGGGAATTCCCAGGGAATTTGGGGACACGGATGGGAAATGGGGGGTGGTGTTCCCAAATTCTGGTGTTTTCTGGCCCCAAAATGTGCTCCTGGGGATGGGGTGTCCCCAAATCCCGGTGTTTTCCATCTCTGTGCCCACTGCAGAACCCCCAAACCTCGCTCCAGACCCCCCAAAATGCCCCCAAATGCCCCAAAAGCTCACGGGGTTGTGCAGCACCAGCTCCTGCAGCGCCTCCAGCTCGGGGTTCAGGGTGGCCGACACCAGCAGGGCCTGGTAGATCTTGGGCATGTGGCTGGGGGGGCACGGGGGTCAGCGGCACCCCAAAACCCCCCCGGGCACCCCAGAATCCCTCTGAGTGCCCCAAGACTGCCCAGAACACCCAAAACTGCTGAGAGCCCCCAAAACCCTCAGTGCCCCCAAAACCCCAAAACCCTCAGTGCCCCCAAAACCCTCAGTGCCCCCAAAACCTCTCAGGGAACCCCGAAACTTTAAAGACCCCAAAACCCTCAGTGTCCCATCACTGTCCCCAACTCTCCTCACTGTGTCCCCTCCCACTGTGCCACCCACGTCTCCCTCAGTGTCCCCCCCATACCCCCGCACTGTCCCCATGTTCCCCCCTGTATCCCCTCACTGTCCCCTCCATGTCCCACCCCCTCTCCCCCCCGTGTCCCCCCCCCCTCTCCCCCT